ATTACATAGTGGTGCAGATTCTGTAATTTTGCATTGATTTGTGCAGATCTAGGTGTTTAAACTCAGTCTGAGCAGTATGTGTACTGATACACAGACGAGAGAGGAAATCTAAATATTTAAACTCGTACCCTGTTTGCTTCAGGTATTTATAACTGAGACATAGTGGCCAGGTGGAGCAGCTCATGCAGGGAGCTGGAGAAGTGGTTGAACAGCACGGCAGCATCCGTCTCATGACAAGATTTCCAAGCTGTGACAGAGATCACAATCCTGCGTGAGGGAAAAAAATAAATTGTTTTAATGCAGCTGCTAAAAAGCAAAGTTAATGATAAAATCTGCACTGAGGCTAACATATAAAAAATATATTGCATATTAGTTTACAGATCATATTAAATCTAAGAATTAGATGCCGAATGTTCTGTCCAAACAACATTCTGCTCTTTGGAAACTGGCGTTGGCATCCTCTGCCCACCTGTCATCTCTGATTCGGTAGAAGAAGCCATATCCCTGCTTAACCATGGGGGCCACCGCACCCAGAACTGTGGTGTAGCCCACCAGGCTGGATGACAGCACAAAGTTACCTCCACTGCCACTGCATGCAAACACAAAAAGAAGACAAATGTTATTTGTTGTTAGAAAAACAAGTTGAACGGCACGTTATTTGCCTGTCGACAAAACTATCATACAGCAAAGAACTTGTATAACCTTTGACCATAGCCTTAGAGCAGGGGTGATTAAACAATTTTATTTTGATTTGTGTATTTTCTTAGTTTCTATTGTATATAGTTATGTTGTTTTTAATGAAATTGATAATTTTTTTGAATTGAATTGAATTGAAATTGAATTATGCCAAACGTCTAGTAGTACAAATGTGTACCAGGTTTCGTAACATTATATTAAGTAGAATAGAAGTTAGGGGTAGGAAACGAGAAAGTTTACAGATGTATGGACAGGCATATGATAAAAATATAGAGAACTAAACCATACAAAAAGAGAATACCTTCTGGAGTAGAGGGGATCAGTGAAGAGCTGAGGAGTGGGAAGTCCCGCCTCTTTAGCGATGAGATACATCCCGAGGAGATGCCTGTCAAAACCTGGAGATGGTGGGAAAAAAAAACAGCGAAAAACTAATAAATTTTACGGTGATTTACAGTTTGCATTTAGAAATTCAGAAACACAAACTTTAACGATGACAAGTTTCTCATGCAAGTTTAGTAAAATGGGAACAAAATAATCAGACTGAGCATCATTCAGTCCAGACAAAAAAAACAACATCATGAATTGTCTTAATGTAAGAATTAGTGCAATATTTAGTTTCAATTAATAAAGATTTTTCTGCAGTTTGTTGGCTCTAATTGTACAGGTTTATATTGGTTCACTGAGCTGTAAAAACATAAAAACTTATCCAGACTTTAACCAAAACTTGCCGATGGATCTTACAGTAGAAAAGAGCTGGTAAAAACAGGGTTGAGGCAGAATTCTGATCAAAATTATTAATTTTGAATCTAAATTTTAATAATGAACAGCTGCACAAGGACATGAATCAGAAGCTGTTTTGTAATTATTGGTTTGTGATTTAATACAGTTTTGCCCTTTTTTGTGTAGCCAACTAAAAAGAATAAAACAATCTGTATTAAATTAAAGCATTCCTAATGAAACATACATATATAC